GGCAGACGGCCCAGCGCCCCTGGTCCAGCCACCCCGCCGGCACTTCCTCGAAACTCTCGTCGATGGCCCAGGCGCCGTCCGATGCCTCCTCGGGCGCCGAGGGGCGCCAAGGACCGGAGCCGTCGTCATCGACGAAGCCCGCATGCCGCATAGCACGCTGCCGTGGCGCCAGCTCCAGGTCGAGGCGGAAGCGGCTCCGCTCGGCCACGCGCCCGACCCGAGCGACTTCCTGACGTCCACCATAGTGGAGGCAACGCCGAAGCCGCTCTCGGACGCGTCCGACGCCGTGACACAGCGGTTCCAGGGCAGCGCCCAGTCGCTGCTGAGGAAGACGAGGAGGCCCCAGAAGCAGCTGAGCTCCTCGCGGACGGACGCCCACATCACCTGCCGCTCCCAGTAGTTGGCCTGCACGAAGGCGTAGCAAGCAGAGAAGACGCAGAGCACCTCTCGTCTCACCAGGCCCGCGTACGTGCAGTGGCCCAGCAGGCACTCCAAATCCTGGCCCGAGAATCTGCCCCGCTGCAAAGCGTAGGCCAGAACCCTCTCCAGGCGGCAGCGCCGCTTGCTGGTGGTGGAGGCACAGAGGCGCCCACTGTCCACGACGACGCCGAGAGCCGACCCCTTCCTCTCGAAGAACTCCACCTCATGGATGTCGAGCTTCATCTTGTTGAAGGCCGCCACCTTCTCGTCCAGCGCCCTCTTGACTGCGCTCGCGTCCTGCCCCAGCACGCCCAGGTTGTCCACGTGCACGTAGTGCCAGAGGTCCTGCTCGCGAGCCCCGCCCACTCTGAACACCATGGGCTCGCCGCGGTCGGTCGCGAGCCGAGCCTCCCGCAGCAGGTCGCACTGCCTCGCCAGGTTCGTGTTGGCGTTCTGGCAGAGTACAAAGACCACGAACATCCCATAGGCAGGGCTCGGCAGCAGGGGTACACCACATCATCGCCGCTTGCCACGCGGCCCTCCACCGTCTCCACTGAGTCCAGGCGGAGCTCGCTAACAGTCAGGGCGGGGAAAGCGAAAAGGGGGCTTATCCTGGGCGGCATCACCATCCTGTGAAAGCAGTTCTCCACGTCGCCGACGCCGAGGCACAGGCGGAGCGCCCGCAGGATGCCCCAGCTCGAGTCCTTCAGCAGGCACGAGTCGCCGTCCACGGCGACCTCGAGGCGCGAGAGGCCCTCCGCCGTCAGCAGGTCCACTCGAGGTGGAGGCAGTAGCCGTTGGTTGGTAGGGCGTGCATCTGTAATCATCCGCATCTTCTGTCTTCCCTTCTTCCAGACGAAAAAGGCTCCGACAAATTCAACAGGCTCCGACGTGCGCCGTAGCATGCCACTGGAATGCAGCCTCTTCATGAATCGAACCTATAGCCGCCTACTCTTTGTGAACGCTGGGTCCAAGTGAGGCCGCGCTGGATCGCTCCGTCGGAGGCGTTCAAAATCTGAGACACTTCGTAGCATCCGCTCTCCACAACCCTCCAGAAAACGTAGGCCCTCTGCGCCGAGAAGCCGCCCCAGGCGCGGGGCGTCCTGGGTGCTCTCCGGCAGTGACACGAGCCCGAGCTGGAAGGGAGCTATGTTCGGCTGGCCCGGCTCCTCGTAGGACCCGCGACCTCGGAGCAGCTCTAGGTAGGCCGCTCTCGGCGAAGGCGCGTCGGGCACCGGCTCCTGGGCTCGCACCAGTCCATCGATGCGCGCAGTCACTTCGCTGTGGATGTCCGCGTCATCGCCACTGCCGACTGCAGGCGAGCCGGCCGCCTTCACCAACCAGTTGAGGGCGTCGATAGCCCTGTTGACCAGTCGGATGTGCAGATAGCGGCCTCGCAGCCCGCGGCTAAGACGACCGCCTCCACGCGCTGCACGTGGCTCCTTCAGCCGCGGCAAAGGGAACAGATGGTGTTCTCCGCGAGAGGCTGGAAGGCGCCCAGCACCGGGCCAAGTCAGCTGCGCGCCGAGAGGGGGCCCACTCCCCTCGGCGATCTCCTCGCTCATGATTTCTCGGCGGCCGCGGGGCTCCCGGCCTTGGGCAATCCGCCCCTGCCGCGCCCGCGACCGCCGTCACCGCGTCCTCGTCCTCGGCCCCATTGGCCCCTCGCCGCCGGTGCCCTCGAGCGCGTCGTCACCGCCGGCTCCACCGCCACCTCCAGGGAGGTCGCGGGCCCGCTGGGCCCCCGTCTCTGCGTCGGTCTCCTCCTTCACCCGCCTCGCGCCGTACTGCCGCAGCTCGGGCGCGATGGCATCAGCCGCCGCGGTCACTCCACTGTGGAAGCTGCCCATCTGCCAGCTCGGGGCTCGCCCCGGGATCCTGTGCGCATCTAGGATGGTCTTGAACCGTCGCGCCAACATCTCGGAACTGGCGAGCGCGGGGGCCCTCAGCTGGTCGAAGGAGGGGGCGTAGAACATCATACCCACGAGACAGTTCGGCTCGAGCATCACCTGATCACTCGCGTCCACCTGCTTTGTAAGAGCCCACAGCTGCAGCCACGGACGCGGGTCACCACCCGTCCTCTCGATGTACTTCATCACCTTCAAGTCCGTCGAGGGGCCCTCGAGGGGCCAATGCTGGTCAGGCACGTTGAGGCTCTCCTGCGCTGCCCTACGGTATGGCGTGTACCTCGCGCCCTGCTCATCGTATTCGCTCCACCGCGTGCGAGCGTCCTTTGCCACTGGAGGCGGCGTGGCCGTGTCACCGGCGGAGCCCGCACCATCGGGCGCCTTGGCCGGCGGCCCAGGCGGCGGTCCCAGGGGAGGACCCAGTGGAGCTGCCCCCGCTGGCCTCAGCTGACCCGCCAGCTCCTCTCGGCGGGCTCGCACGAACTCGTCCCCCTCCGTGGGGGGGCTGAGCTCGGGCCGGCGGCACTGCCCCCGACGGAGGGTCATCGCGTCGTAGTCCGACAGCCTGAGGCCGCCTGGTCCCAGCACCAGCTCGTCGCCGAGGTTGTCAGCGCGGCCGCCCTCCATGAGCACCCACGCGTGGCCACGCGGCATGTCCAGCGGCCCCGCCTGGGGATACGCTGGGCTGGCGTCGTCGCCGACGGCCGCCAGCGCAGGGGCCGCGCCCGCGTCGGAGCCGGCAGCCTCGTCGCCCGGGGGCCCGTCGTCGGCCCCACCCGCCGCCGCCGCTGAGCCGCGGCGGAAGGGGAGGCGGCGAGGCAGGGAACGCCCGCCGAACAGGCTGCCCAGCGGCACCACCTCGCGATTGGGCATCACCACGTCCGCGACCTCGATCGGCGGGTCACCCGCCGCGGCACCGTCCTGCAGGGCCGGGCGGACGGCGGACGGTCGGCCCTCGCGGGCGTACCCCTTCAGGGTGTCCAGGTCGAGCGCCTGCTTGAACCTATAGGCGGGTTTGTCGAGCCGGGGAAGACGCCCGCATGAGCGCAGGCCGACGATCCGTACCACGCCGTCGACGCTCTCGCTGCCGTCTATCATCTCCGAACACATGTCAAATTCTGGCGTCAGGATGACCCAGCTGGCGTGCGTCTGCGGCCACGGGGCCACCCGCTCGTGGTAAGCGTCGTCCCCATCGTACCGAATCAGCACCTCCTCCCAGCCGAGCTTCGTCAGCGGGCAGGCCGCAGGCTCCGGGCACACGCACGCCGGCGTCCCTGGGCACACGCAAGGCGGTGCTTCCGCGCACGTCTCTGGGCAGCTCGGCGGCCCCAGAGGAGCGGGGCAGGGCTGCCTCCGCGTGCTCAGCGCGAGAAGCCCCGCGGCTATCGGGCCACTGAGGATCTGCGGGAGGTACCCGGGCCGCATGCAGCTCGAGGCCGCAGGTCGAAGAGAAACCACTCAGCCAAAAAGGAGCAGCTACAGAGAAACTGTTCGGCACCGCAGTGAAATTTCCCAAACAGTGCAAGCACGACGGAGCAGGGACCCCCGCGGGGCGAAGCGCGATTATCCACGCGCCCACGCACCGAGAGGGTTGGGGTCCACGACAGGGCCCGCTATTTTACATCATTCATGTGCACGCACCCCCATATTGGGCCGCGGAGGGCAAGAACGGGGCTACTGAGGGCAGCAACGGCCACGAAGGGCAGCGAGGGGGCCACGAAGGGCGACAGCGGGGCGACGAAGGGCATGCATATGGGGCAACCACGGGCGCGAACGAGCGGGGGCCACGAAGGGCATACATATATGGGGCCACGAAGGGCAGCGAGGGGGCCACGAAGGGCTGCAACGGGGCCACGAAGGGCAGCGAGGGGGCCACGAAGGGCGACAGCGGGGCCACGAAGGGCAGCGAGGGGACCTCGAAGGGCTGCAACGGGGCCACGAAACAAAGCGAGAGTGCCACGAAGGGCTGCAACGGGGCCATGAAGGGCAGCGAGATCCCGATACCTAGGGAATATGTGAGGGAATCGTAAGCGTGAGCGCGACTCCTGAGTGCCTGGGTGTCGGGAGCGCGGCGCTTGAGTAAATTGCAAGGAAGTCCAACGCAAGGGCGCTATTCTATATTAAATTGCAAGCAAGGCTCCAGCGAGAGCGAGACTCCAGAGCGCCAGGAGAGCGATTCCGGAATAAATTGTAAGGAAGTCCAAAGCGAGAGCGCGATTCCTGAATAAAATGCGAGGAAGTATTGGGCGGGAGCGGGGGTTCTGGCTAAATTGTGAGGAAGTCTCAGGCGGGAACTGCTGTTGTTGTAAACCGGGGGCCAACGATACAGTATGACCCTCAAGACTTTCCCTGATAAAAAACAAGGTGCGAGCCCCGGGAAGGGCACTACAATCGAACAAAAAACAATGTGCACCAGAGCTTAGGAGGCGGGGGGCTCCCAGGAGAGCTTCTCGGAGGCCGCGCGGGCCTCTGAAGAAAGCACCCCGTCGCCGTCCTTGCAGGAACCGCATCGCCCGAACGTCGGAGTCGAGTCGAGTCGGGCCGGCTGGGGCCGATATCGAATGGGATCGAATGAACAGGAATTGTTGCTGGGCATTGTACCCATTCTTTCAGTACCCATTTCGGGCGTCCAGACCCTCACGCCATCCCCTCTCTGTTCGCGCCGGCGGGAACCACAGGAAGCCCCCCGTGAGCGCCGCGGCGCCCGCGGCGGCGGCGGCCTCGCGACGCTCGGCGCGGGGCAGGGGCGAGGCAACTGCTCCCTGCTCCCTCGTTGTCCTCCTCCTCCTCCTCCTCGTGCACCTGCTCCTGCTCCTCCTCCTCCTCCTCCTCCTGCTCCTCCTCCTGCTCCTCCTCCTCCTCCTGCTCCCCCTCCTCCTCCTCGCCCTTCTCTCTCCCTCCGTTCTTCCGTAGCCAGTTTGGCTCAAGTGTCAACCCAAGACCAGGCGAACTTCAGAGCGGCCCGTCTGCAGGGGCCACAGCAACCATTCCAGACTTGTTCGCACTCTCATGCCGCCGACGCGCACCGGCGCCACTGCCCTCAGCGTCAAGGGGCGCGAGGGTGGAGGCTATGGGCGCAGCGCCCCAGCGCCGCCGTGGCAGCAGGAGTACAACCATCAGGCTACGGTGCTTCCCAGTCCGCGCTCTCCACACTGGGGCTGCGCGTGCGGAGAGGCGCACAATTGGGCGAGCAGCCCCGGGTGCCGCGCTTGCGGCAAGCCGGCGGCTCTTGCCATCCGCAAGCGGGCCATCGCGGCAGCCGCTGGAGGGGGCGAAGGGAATACGCCCACCAAGACGAACAAGGACAACAAGGCCAGCTATGCCGATGTGGTTTCGCGAGGGCACCAGGGCGGCTCGTCGGCGCTGCCTGGGGCGCGCCGCAAGGACCTGCCTCCCTCTGGCGGCGCGGCGCCCGATGACACGAAGCAGGCGCAGGCGGCGGTGGAGCTGCTCAAGTCCCTCGGCGTGGAGATGGACGCGGAACAAATGGGCAAGCTGCCGAAGCCAGAGCCGGAGGCGGCAGCACAGCCGGCGGCTCGCACTCCGGAGGCTGCCGTGCAGCGCGCCCTCTGGAGGAAGGGACCGTAAGCGCGCCCTGGAGCGCGCAGAGGCTGCCCAATGCGGAGGCCCAGCTCGCTCTGGGCGAGGCGCAGCGCAAGGCGGCGGAGGTCGAGGAGCGCATGCGCACGCTTCGCACTCAGTTGCATACGGCCACGCAGGAGTACAGCGAGGCAGTGGCCAAGCAGCACTTGGAGGTATGCGGACCGCCGCCACGCCCGTCCCGCTGGGACCAGTTATCGCCACGCTTGCAGAACCTCCAGAATGCCATGGAGGCCCTGCACAGCTTGCAGGTGGAGTTTGACCATGAGGCCATGAGGCTGCATGCGACAGCTGGGTGCAGCACCTCCAGGCGATGTACCACACGGAAATGCAGGCTGCCACTGCAGGTGCGGCCGCTGTTGCCGCTGCCGACCACGAGGAAGCTCCTCCACCTCCGGCCAGCATGGATGGATCGAGGGAGCAAGGGCACCACCGTCCCAGGGGGGAAAACGACGGCGACGACGTTTTCGTGCGCAGCCGCCTCAACCTGGCCGCCGCGGAGTTGGCGGAGTGGGCCCGACACGCTCAGGAGCAGGGCGTGCCGCTCCCAGCGAGTGTCCGGCAGGAGCTGGACGCCAATCGGGGTAAGGGCGCCGGCAAGGGTGCCTGCGGCACGACCGCCTACTCTCCCATGTGAGCGACTTCGACTATCTGGAGGCATCGGCGTCTCTGCCGCCAGCGCAGGGTCATCGAGGTCGGGTCGGAGCTGGAAAGCGCGCGGCCGCCTGCTGCGCTCCTCCCAGCTGGTGGTCATGGTGCTCTTCTTGCTCGTCTGCTGCTGGATTGGGGAGGCCAGCCACCCTGGGCCAGAGAATACTGGCTCCACCCCTCGTGGCACGCGGGCCTCAGATGTGACCGCCATCGAGGCGCTCTCGGACGCTGGTGCGGCCGCGATGAGAGGAGGAAAGGAGAGGTGGAGCCATGCCTCGATCCCAGGCGCCGTTGGAGGGGGAGCTGTACTTCCCGCGACCGTGAGCGAGTTCGTGCCAGGAGCGTCAGAGCACGGGACTGCTCAGCGTACGCCAGCTCAGGAGGTGTTGCGACATGGAGCGTCCAAGAGGCACAAGCGGAAGGTGAAGCGAGGCGACTGCAGCACGCTCCGGATTGCCACCATGAACGTCACATGCTGGAATTCCTTCGAAGCGGAGCTCAGGAGAGGCGCACTGGAGTAGTTTCACGCCATCCTCATCCAGGAGCACAGGCTCCTCGAGCCTCGCTTCCGGGCGGCACACGCGGCTGCTGAAGCTTCGGGGTGGCGTCTCGATGTCACCAGAGCGAGGGCCACCGAGGCCGGCGGGGTCTCTGGAGGGGCTGGCGTCTTGGCGAAATCGTATCTCGGGATCCGCCGCGTGGACCCTCCGGATGACTGGATCGATGTGCCCCGCGGGGAGCGCCTGGGCTTCTGGCAGCTGTCCTGCGGCGATGCGCAGGGCCTTCTGCTCGCGTCGGCCTGCTTCCACACTTCGCGCGGCTTGGAAGAGACCAACTCGATCCTGCTGGAGCGTATAGCGTCGGCGCTGCGAGCGCTAGGATTACCTTTTAGGGTGGCCGCGGACTGGCTATTTGAGCCCGACATGCTCGCTTCCACCTGGTGGGCGAGTGCCGTGCAGGCTGCGACTCACAGGCCGCGTGGTCCGACACGCCTCACGGCTGCTGTCGCCAGTGAGATTGACTACTCTGCCACCTCGGCGGCCTTCTGGCCGCGCCGTGTGTGGGTTGCAGACGCGATCCGCATTAATAGGGGGAAAACAAACCTACCTCGCTTTTGACCACCCTCGCTTCCAAGAGATACCAAACGATGCCAAACTACGGCCTGCACTGGTCAGGCCGCTTGACGAGGAGGCGCGTGGTATGACTTGGTTTTGCCTGGAAGCGAAAGCGGGGTAGGTAATTCACGCTCTGAATTAAGACACACAGGGCGGTGGCCACGGACTTGGGGCCGCCCTGCAGGGGCGACCGCACCACGGTTCCTCGGCGACCGCGCGCTCTTCCGGCACCCCTGCCCGTGGGGGGCCCGGCCGCCGCCTCCAGACTGGGGGCCTGCCGCGCAGCAGCTGGGGGACATGGCTTGCGCGGCGGGTCCTGAGCAGGGATGCCGGTGCCGGTTGGATCTGTACGACGCGTGCTCTTCCACGGCACCCCTGTCCGTGGGGGCCCAGCCGCTGCCTCCAGACTGGGGGCCTGCCGCGCAGCAGCTGGAGGACATGGCTTGCGCGGCGGGTCCTGAGCAGGGATGCTGGTGCCGGTTGGATCTGCACGAGCAGGAGTGCGTCGGGGCATTCGACTTGCAGGAGGCTCGCGGTCTATGCGCTGGCCGGGCGGCGGGGGCGAGGACAGCGCGAGTTCCTTTTTAGCCCAGTCGCGGCGAGTGGCACAAGAGGATTGCAAAGCCGATGAGATTGATTCGTAGTGGGGTTGGCTGGCTGACCGGGTCTTGCAGTGGCGCCATCTGCACCGCTTGGGCGACGACGCAGGTTTAGGTTTCTCGGAGAAGCGCCGCTCCGAGCTGCAGCTGCAGGCCCACCGCCTGCTGGTGCGCCTCCGGCGCTTCAACATCCCGACGGCGCAGCGCCCGAATTTCTGGTCTCGCTGGCGTTCGGCCTCGCGGCGAATGCATTTCATGGACGACTCGGAGATCGATGATCTGCTGTGGGAGCTTCGCGAGGAGGCCAGAAGGGGGGCTGCGTCTGCCGCTCACCGGAGGATACGCCGATGGAAGGAATGGAGCCGCCAGGCCACCCAATCAGGGGGGCGTCAGGTTTTTCGATGGATACGGGAGGAGCCGCCTTGGGCGCAAGCCCAAGCTCGGCGGCCGTGCCGGCGTGCAGAACCTCGCGGAGGAGGCGCGGGCGTGCATCCAACCATGGCACGACTTGTGGACCGGCTGCCCTCGCGAGCCGATCCCCGCCGCCGACGACGACATGGAGATGCCCATTCCGACGAGGGACGAGCTTCAAAAGGTCGGGCATTCTTTCCCTGGGGTCACAGGCTTAGGCTGCGGCGCTGTCCACCCGAGACACGTGGCACTTCTTTCGGACCAGGCGCTGGATGGACTATTGCTACTGTGGGCCGCGATGCTGCGGTACTCGCACTCCTCCTGACGATCTTGATCCCGAAGCCGGATGTCGTTGGGCAGAGCCCCATCGGCTTTGTCCCGGGCATGCTTCGACCGCTGACCCGCTGGACCCGGGAAACTGTGGGTGCCCGGTGGTGTTCCGCTAACGACAGGCTGTACCTCTTCGGGGTCTTCGGCAAGTCGTGCGAGTGCTGCGTCTGGCGCCAGGCGGCGAGCTGTGAGTGGGGCACCCACAGAGGCATGCTGGCGGTCACTGTGCTTCTGGACCTCAGCAAAGCGTATGAGCATATACGGTGGGGCCTTTTGATCACAAACGAGCAGCTTCTGCGTTTCCCCGTCCGCCCCATGCGCTGGCTAGTTACACTTTATTCGATGGAACGCGTCGTGTCTAACCAGGGAGTGTGCCGTCATCCGTGCCAGCCTCGCATGGGCGTGGTGACAGGCGATTCCTTCGCGGACATCTACATGCGTGCGCATGATCTTGGTTCCAATTCTGGACGCCACGATCGCTGCCGTAACTCTCACGTGCGTCAGCTTCGGCAACGTGGTCGACGACCTGCAAATGCTCGGGCTGGGCCCCGTGCAGAAGATGACGAGGGAGATGAGCGAGCCTTACAAGGACCTCCGGGCGCGGTTTTTGAGCGCCATGCTGGTGCTCAATGACGGCAAGGTGGCAGTTGTGGCCAACTCGTCGGAGACCGCGAGGCTCCTTACCATGCGCAATCCAGCGCTGAGGCACAAGACCGTGCACGGCGTGCGCAATCTCGAGGTGGACTACACGGTCGGCCAGAAGCGCAGCGTCACACTTACCAGGAAGCGCCTCGACAAGGTGATGTACAGGGCGGCGCGGGTAAGGGTGCTTCGGAAGGCGAAGTGCCGTACTCGGCATTTGACCTCCTTGGGAGTGGTGCCCGCTTGGACTTACGGCGTAGGCGTCACTGAGCGGCCCTGGGGAAGGATACTGCCAGCTCGCCGGGCAGCGCATGCGGCTCTGCGCGCCCGCTACGCAGGCAGGTCTGCCACCATCGACTTCGGCATGGAGGG